CCAACCTCCTGGCCCCGACTCTTCACTGGTCGCTACTAGGCCATTCTCCCTGTATCGTGAGCTTTATCATACCTCTGCTTAAAGCTATGTATGGATCCTGCCTCCACTGCATCGCTTCCCAAACTATTCCTCTTCCTGACTACTCTATGGCTGAAGAAACACTTCCTAACATCCCTGTGATTCATCTGTGTCTTCAACTTCCAACTGTGTCCCCTTGTTGCTGTGTCCCATCTCTGGAACATCCTGTCTTTGTCCACCTTGTCAATTCCTCTCAGTATTTTGTATGTCGTTATCATGTCCCCCCTATCCCTCCTTTCCTCCAGTGTCGTCAGGTTGGTTTCCCTTAACCTCTCCTCGTAGGACATACCTCTTAGCTCTGGGACTAGTCTTGTTGCAAACCTTTGCACTTTCTCTAGTTTTTTTACATGCTTGGCTAGGTGTGGTTCCAAACTGGTGCCGCATACTCTAATATGGGCCAGACATACACGGTGTACAGGGTCCTGAACGATTCCTTATTAAGATGTCGGAATGCTGTTCTGAGGTTTGCCAGGCGCCCATATACTGCAGCAGTTATTTGGTTGATGTGCACTTCAGGAGATGTGCCTCGTGTTATACTCACCCGAAGATCTTTTTCCTTGAGCGAGGTTTGTAGTCTCTGGCCCCCTAGACTGTACTCCTTCTGCGGTCTTCTTTGCCCTTCCCCAATCTTTATGACTTTGCACTTGGAGGGGTTGAACTCCAGAAGCCAATTGCTGGACCAGGTCTGCAGCCTGTGCAGATCCCTTTGTAGTTCTGCCTGGTCTTCTCATCAACTTCACGTCATCTGCAAACTGGGACACTTCGGAGTCTATTCCTTCCGACATGTCGTTCACAAATACCAGAAACAGCACAGGTTCTCGGATTGACCCTTGTGGGACCCCGCTGGTCACAGGTGCCCACTCTGAAACCTCGCCACGTACCATGACTCGCTGCTGTCTTCCTGACAAGTATTCCTTGATCCATTGAAGTGCATTCCATATTATCCCTGCTTGACCCTTCAGTTTTTGCACTAATCTCTTGTGTGGAACTGTGTCAAACGCCTTCTTGCAGTCCAAGAAAATGCAATCCACCCACCCCTCTCTCTCTTGTCTTACTGCTGTCACCATGTCATAGAACTCCAGTAGGTTTGTGACACAGGATTTCCCATCCCTGAAACCATGTTGGCTGCTGTTGATGAGATCATTCCTTTCTAGGTGTTCCATCACTCTTCTGATAATCTTCTCCATGACTTTGCATACTATACATGTCAGTGACACTGGTCTGTAGTTTGGTGCTTCATGTCTGTCTCCTTTTTTAAAGATTGGGACTACATTTGCTGTCTTTCATGCCTCAGGCAATCTCCCTGTTTCGATAGATGTATTGAATATTATTGTTAGGGGTACACTTAGTGCCTCTGCTCCCTCTCTCAGGACCCATGGAGAGATGTTATCCGGCCCCATTGCCTTTGAGGTATCTAGCTCACTCAGAAGCCTCTTCACTTCTTCCTCGGTTGTGTGTACTGTGTCCAGCACTTGGTGGTGTGCCCCATCTCTCCGTCTTTCTGGAGCCCCTTCTGTCTCCTCTGTGAACACTTCTTTGGATCTCTTGTTGAGTTTCTCACATGCTTCACGGTCATTTCTTGTTGACTCTCCTCCTTCCTTCCTTAGCCTGATTACCTGGTCTTTGACTGTTGTTTTCCTCCTGATGTGGCTGTATAACAGCTTCGGGTCAGATTTGGCTTTCGCTGCTATGTCGTTTTCATATTGTCGTTGGGCCTCCCTTCTTATCTGTGTATATTCATTTCTCGCTCTACGACTGCTCTCCTTATTCTCCTGGGTCCTTTGCCTTCTATATTTCTTCCATTCCCTAGCACACTTGGTTTTCGCCTCCCTGCACCTTTGGGTGAACCATGGGCTCATCCTGGCTTTTTCATTATTCCTGTTACCCTTGGGTACAAACCTCTCCTCTGCCTCCTTGCACATTGTTGCTACATATTCCATCATCTCATTAACTGGCTTCCCTGCCAGTTCTCTGTCTCATTGAACCCCGTTCAGGAAGTTCCTTATTCCCGTGTAGTCCCCTTTCTTGTAGTTTGGCTTCATTCGTCCTGGTCTTCCTGCTTCTCCGTCTACTTGTAGCTCTACTGTGTATTCGAAGCTTAAAATCACATGATCGCTGGCCCCAAAGGGTCTTTCATATGTGATGTCCTCAATATCTACACTACTCAAGGTGAATACTAGGTCCAGTCTTGCTGGTTCATCCTCTCCTCTCTCTCTTGTAGTGTCCCTCACGTGTTGGTACATGAAGTTTTCCAGTACCGCCTCCATCATCTTAGCCTTCCATGTATCTTGGCCCCCATGTGGCTCAAAGTTCTCCCAATCGATCTCCTTGTGGTTAAAGTCATCCATGATCAGGAGCTTTGCCCTGCATGCATGAGCTCTTCTGGCCACTGCAGCCAGTGTGTCAACCATCACTCTACTGCTCTCATCATACTCTTGCCTTGGCCTCCTGCTCTTCTGTTGTGAGTTATACATCACTGCAATTACCACCTTGGGACCTCCAGAGTGAAGAATTCCCACTATGTAATCGCTTGTTTCTCCGTTGTCTCCTCTCTCCAGCTCATCAAAATTCCATCGGTTTTTGATCAGCAGTGCCACTCCTCCATCCCCCTGTTCCCTCTGTCTTTCCTCAGGATCTGGTATCCCATTGAAAAGATGATATCTGTTATCATACCTGTAAGCTTGGTTTCTGTGAGTGCTATGATGTCCGGTGATGCCTCATTGACTCTTTCGTGCCACTCCTCCCACTTATTTGTTATTCCATCAGTGTTTGTGTACCATACCTTCAGTTTCCTTCCCAACACTGTGGTTTGGGGAGCCTGTGAGGGTGGGAGATCTGGTAGCATACTGTGGGATTCTATAGCTGGGTGTTGGGTGGAAGCTGTGAGTATGGATTGTAGTTTGTGTTGGGATGGTGTGATAGGTTGTTGGGTTCTGAGGATAGTTCTGTGTGTGCTTGCTCTTGCTGTTCTGTCCTGCTCCGACTGACCTCTGCTGGTTCCATCCTTGTCTCTTTTCCTAGTTCCTTTCGCTTTTTTGTCCTCTCTCTCAGCTACTGTCGTTCTGTTTGTGTTCTGTCTCTGTCTAGGAACACCCTCTTGTACTCTTCCGAGTATTTCAACCGTGGTTTCTCTTGGAGGATCCTGTTCCGCATTGTTTCTGTCCTGAGAATCAGCGTGATCGGTCGTTTTCTTCCCTTCAAGTACCCCCCTATTCTCTGAAAATTTACAATCTCGTCCATGTTTTCTTCACCTATTTCTGTGATGATGTTTTCAATCTCCTTTCTTTCTGCCTGCCGTCTTTCACTGTGTGTCCTTTACTCTCTCTCCTGAAGCCCATGGATAAACACTGATTTTGCCCTTTCCTCCTCCCATTGCTTCTCCCTCTGTAACTCTGGTACCTGTCTGTACGTGGTCATTTTCTCCCTTGTTTTTTCCAGTGGCTCTTGGTAGCATGGTTGTGCCTCTCCATTTGACTTATCACCCTCTCCATCTGCTCCCAGCTGCTCTCCCCTTTCACTCCTTGGCCCTTCTTGGCAGGCTGATATGACCTTAGCATAATTCATATCTCCTTCCTTCCTGTTCGGCCTCTCAGCTTCATATGTTGTGTCTTCTCTGGGCAATGCCCTTGTAACTTGCTTCAGCCTATTTACCTCATCTTCTAGGACCCTTATCCTGGCTACTGCAGTTTCGACTTGTGCCTCCCAATTCTTCTTCTCCTTCTCCAACCTCTTTTCTAATTTCAGAGAAAGCTCTGTCTCCATTTTTTCAGAAAGCTCTCCTAGTTTTTTCTCTCACTCTTGTTCCATCCTTCGTGTGTGTTTGTGTGTGTGTGTGTGTGTGTGTGTGTGTGTGTGTGTGTGTGTGTGTGTGTGTGTGTGTGTGTGTGTGTGTGTGTGTGTGTGTGTGTGTTTGTGTGTGTGTATGTGAGTGTGTGTACTCATCTGTTTGTACTTGCAGGGGTCTATCTAGTATAAATAGTACTAGGGAACTAGCTCTTGGCCCCACATCTTCACTGGTCACTAATAGGTCCACTCTCTTCCTGCTCCAAGAGTCTTGTCATACCTGCTCTTAAAGCTATATATGGATCCAGCCTCCACTATATCACTCGCTAGATTGTTTCACACACATGCAACTCTGCCACTGAAGAAATACTTCCTAACATCCCTGTGACTCATCGGAGTTTTCAGCTTACAATTGTGACCCTTTGTTGCTGCGTCCCATCTATGAAAGATTCTGTCCTGTCCCTCTTACCAATTCCTCTTAATATTTAAAACGTCGTTATCACGTCCTCCAAACCCTCCTGTCCTCCAGTATCGTCAGAAAGAGTTCCTATAACCCAGGAAGGGGAAGCAAACTTTTCAGTGCATGAGCCACATTCAGAAATTCACAATATTAAAGGGCCGTATAGCATATTAAGTAAAACAATTAATGTTTAAAATAGCCAAAATAAAAGGTTTTTGAAGAAAAAAAAGAACAATTAATTTTTTAAAGTAGAAACTTCACGTGAAATACATTTATTTGAGAAACAAAGTAAATTAGAAAGTAAGAGAACAATGTCAGTGAGAATGATGAATCTGACTGCAATCATTTAGCAGTTTGTTAAAATTAGGAGTCAAGTTGCTTCTGCTGATCCTAAACACTGACTAAGGATTTGAGTCTGTCAGAAGGGATCTGTCTTTTGACCAGTTAACTATCGTTATTGAGAAAGTCTACACAAATATTATTCGGAGTTGCGTGGTAACATTTTCCTTCAGATTTACTAACATTTTATTCCCAAATAACGTGAGTATATGACTTGATGTTGGAGGGCCGCATACGGCCCGTGGACCGTAGTTTACCCACCGTTGCTATAACCTTTCCTCATAGTTTGGTTGCAAACTTATGTCTTAAATTAATGAACTAACACTTATTTCTCTGGCAGAAACACGTGGGACAGAGAATGAACAAGATTCACCTTCACCTGTGCGTGTGCCTGGGGGTGGCTGAGGTGGTGCTCTTGTCAGGGCTGGACGCCACAACGTACCCCTGGGTGTGTACGTTGGTCGCTGCTCTTCTTCACTACCTCTTCCTCGCTACCTTCACCTGGTCTGCCATCGAGGCTCTCAACCTCTATCTTATGCTTGGCAAGGTAGGCACTCATGCACAGGGTCATGTTATCCATTAGGCGCAATACGCACAGCGCCTAGGATCTGAAAAATCTGTAAGGCCTATAAAACAAATACATGAACTAAACTCAAATTTATCCAAACATTTGAAAGACAAACGAAGAAAACGAAATTCCTTTCTTCTTCAATTAAAAATATTTATCTAAAATGCAAATTACATTTTCCCTAAAAATTTAAATTTTTCTTAACTTCTAAGAAAGTGGTAACAATAATACCAAAACGGAACTCATTACATAAACGTTTAAATTTGGAAAAATAAAAAATCATTGGACTCAGAGTTTCATATCTATGAGCCAAAAATTCACTTAATTAATATGTCCCAGAAAAATAATTTGCAATATCAAAAATAGTTTGCAATATCATCTCGAAAACAGGAAATTATAGGGAAGCCAAATATTGACTAAGAGTCGATAAGGGTTTTAATGCTCACCAACTAAGGTAATTAATGGTGCACAGTAAACCTCTCCACCACCAGAGACGTATAATATACTCACGAATAGTTACTAAGTAAACTCTATTATATATACATTCAGAGACATACGTCCCTCAGGGTACACACAGACACATACGTCCCTCAGGGTACACACAGATACTTACGTCCCTCAGGGTACACACAGACACATACGTCCCTCAGGGTACACACAGACACATACATCCCTCAGGGTACACACAGACACATACGTCCCTCAGGGTACACACAGACACATGCGTCCCTCAGGTTACACACAGACACATACATCCCTCAGGGTACACACAGACACATACGTCCCTCAGGGTACACACAGACACATACGTCCCTCAGGGTACACACAGACACATACGTCCCTCAGGGTACACACAGACACATACGTCCCTCAGGGTACACACAGACACATACGTCCCTCAGGGTACACACAGACACATACGTCCCTCAGGGTACACACAGACACATACGTCCCTCAGGTTACACACAGACACATACGTCCCTCAGGGTACACACAGAAACATACGTCCCTCAGGGTACCCACAGACACATGCGTCCCTCAGGGTACACACAGACACATACGTCCCTCAGGGAACACACTGACACATACGTCCCTCAGGGTACACACAGACACATACGTCCCTCAGGGTACACACAGGCACATATGTCCCTCAGGGTACACACAGACACATTCGTCCCTCAGGGTACACACAGGCACATATGTCCCTCAGGGTACACACAGAAACATACGTCCCTCAGGGTACCCACAGACACATGCGTCCCTCAGGGTACACACAGACACATACGTCCCTCAGGGAACACACTGACACATACGTCCCTCAGGGTACACACAGGCACATATGTCCCTCAGGGTACACACAGACACATACGTCCCTCAGGGTACACACAGGCACATATGTCCCTCAGGGTACACACAGACACATTCGTCCCTCAGGGTACACACAGACACATACGTCCCTCAGGGTACACACAGGCACATATGTCCCTCAGGGTACACACAGACACATTCGTCCCTCAGGGTACACACAGACACATACGTCCCTCAGGTTACATACAGACACATATGTCCCTCAGGGTACACACAAACACATACGTCCCTCATGGTACACACAGACACATACGTCCCTCAGGGTACACACAGACACATACGTCCCTCAGGGTACACACAGACACATATGTCCCTCAGGGTACACACAGACACATATGTCCCTCAGGGTACACACAGACACATACGTCCCTCAGGGTACACACAGACACATACATCCCTCAGGGTACACACAGACACATACGTCCCTCAGGGTACACACAGACACATACGTCCCTCAGGGTACACACAGACACATATGTCCCTCAAGGTACACACAGACCATACGTCCCTCAGGGAACACACAGACACATATGTCCCTCAGGGTACACTCAGAAACATACGTCCCTCAGGGTACACGCAGGCACATATGTCTCTCAGGGTACACACAGACACATATGTCCCTCAGGGTACACACAGACACATACGTCCCTCAGGGTACACACAGACACATATGTCCCTCAGGGTACACTCAGAAACATACGTCCCTCAGGGTACACGCAGGCACATATGTCCCTCAGGGTACACACAGACACATACGTCGCTCAAGGTACACACAGGCACATATGTCCCTCAGGGTACACACAGACACATTCGTCCCTCAGGGTACACACAGACACATACATCCCTCAGGGTATACACAGACACATACGTCCCTCAGGGTACACACAGACACATACATCCCTCAGGGTATACACAGACACATACGTCCCTCAGGGTACACACAGGCACATATGTCCCTCAGGGTACACACAGACACATACGTCCCTCAGGGTACACACAGACACATGCATCCCTCAGGGTACAAACAGACACACACGTCCCTCAGGGTACACACAGACACATATGTCCGTCAGGGTACACACAGACACATACGACCCTCAGGGTACACACAGACACATACGTCCCTCAGGGTACACTCAGACACATACGTCCCTCAGTGTACACACAGACACTTACGTCCCTCAGGGTACACACAGACACATACGTCCCTCAGGGTACACACAGACACATACGTCCCTCAGGGAACACACAGACACGTACGTCTCTCAGGATACACACTGACACATACGTCCCTCAGGGTACACACAGACACATACGTCCCTCACGGTGCACACAGACACATACGTCCCTCAGGGTACACACAGACACTTACGTCCCTCAGGGTACACACAGACACATACGTCCCTCAGGGTACACACAGACACATACGTCCCTCAGGGTACACACAGACACATACGTCCCTCTGGGTACACACAGACACATACGTCCCTCAGGGTATACACAGACACATACATCCGTCACGGTACACACAGACACACACGTCCCTCAGGGTACACACAGACACATATGTCCGTCAGGGTACACACGGACACATACGACCCTCAGGGTACACACAGACACATACGTCCCTCAGGGTGCACACAGACACATACGTCCCTCAGGGTACACACAGACACTTACGTCCCTCAGGTTACACACAGACACATTCGTCCTTCAGGGTACACACAGACACATACGTCCCTCTGGGTACACACAGACACATACGTCCCTCAGGGTACACACAGACACTTACGTCCCTCAGGGTACACACAGACACATACGTCCCTCAGGGTACACACAGACACATATGTCCCTCAGGGTACTCACAGACACTTACGTCCCTCAGGGTTCACACAGACACATATGTCCCTCAGGGTACACACAGACACATATGTCCCTCAGGGTACACACAGACACTTACGTCCCTCAGGGTACATACAGACACATATGTCCCTCAGGGTACTCACAGACACTTACGTCCCTCAGGGTACACACAGACACATATGTCCCTCAGGGTACTCACAGACACTTACGCCCCTCAGGGTACACACAGACACATACGTCCCTCTGGGTACACACAGACACATACGTCCCTCAGGGTACACACAGACACTTACGTCCCTCAGGGTACACACAGACACATACGTCCCTCAGGGTACACACAGACACATATGTCCCTCAGGGTACTCACAGACACTTACGTCCCTCAGGGTTCACACAGACACATATGTCCCTCAGGGTACACACAGACACATATGTCCCTCGGGGTACACACAGACACTTACGTCCCTCAGGGTACATACAGACACATATGTCCCTCAGGGTACTCACAGACACTTACGTCCCTCAGGGTACACACAGACACATATGTCCCTCAGGGTACTCACAGACACTTACGCCCCTCAGGGTACACACAGACACATACGTCCCTCAGCGTGCATACAGACACATACGTCCCTCAGGGTACACACAGACACATATGTCACTCAGGTTACACACAGACACATACGTCCCTCAGGGTACACTCAGACACATACGTCCCTCAAGGTACACACAGACACATACGTCCCTCAGGGTACACACAGACACTTACGTCCCTCAGGGTACATACAGACACATACGTCCCTCAGGGTACACACAGACACATACGTCCCTCAGGGTACACACAGGCACATACGTCCCTCAGGGTACTCACAGACACATATGTCAATCAGGGTACACACAGACACATACGTTCCTCATGGTACACACAGACACATACGTCCCTCAGGGTACACACAGGCACATACGTCCCTCAGGGTACTCACAGACACATATGTCCCTCAGGGTACACACAGGCACATACATCCCTCAGGGTACACACAGGCACATATGTCCCTCAGGGTACACAAAGACACGTACGTCCCTCAGGGTACACACAGACACATACGTCCCTCAGGGTACACACAGACACATACGTCCCTCAGGGTACACACAGACACATACGTCCTTCAAGGTACACACAGACACATACGTCCCTCAGGGTACACACAGACACATACATCCCTCAGGTTACACAAAGACACATGCGTCCGTAAGGGTCCACACGGACACATACGTCCCTCAGGGTACACACAGACACATACGTCCCGCAGGGTGCACACAGACACATACGTCCCTCAGGGTACACACAGACACATACGTCTCTCAGGGTACACACAGACACATACGTCCCTCAGGGTACACACAGACACATACGTCCCTCTGGGTACACACAGACACATACGTCCCTCAGGGTACACACAGGCACATATGTCCCTCAGGGTACACGCAGACACATACGTCTCTCAGGGTTCACACAGACACATACGTCCCTCAGGGTACACGCATGCACATATGTCCCTCAGGGTACACACAGACACATACGTCCCTCAGGGTACACACAGGCACATATGTCCCTCTGGGTACACGCAGACACATACGTCCCTCAGGGTACACACATACACTTACGTCCCTCATTGTACACACAGACATGTACGTCCTTCAGGGTACCCACAGACACAGACGTCCCTCAGGGTACACACAGACACATA